AGGCGGCGGGGGCGACAAGGGCTCAGGAAAGGCGCACGTCCCCGGAGCGGAGCTCTGTTCAGGGCAGCCACCAGCAGCGGCCAGGTCGCTCCTGCGAGTCAACCCCCACGGGGGTGAGCGCAAGCGGCTGGTTCAGGGGAACCAAACTCCCCCTCCTTAACGCCACGGGTTCTCTTCATCCCCAGCAGAAGCGGTGCCGCCTTTGCCAGGCGGCAGCCGGGGCTCCGCGGCTCCCGGGGAGTCGGCAGCCCCCGGCGAGCTGTCAGAGCCGCCGGCAGCCCGGGCACCCCACGCGAGGCAGGCCGACCCCCGGGGGCCTGCGAGGGGCCGGGCAGCGGCGGAGGGGCCGGGCGCGCGGGCGCCGCTAGGCGGCACTGCGGCCGCGCGCGTCCCGCCGCCGCGCCGGGCCCGGCCGCGTATCGCTCCGCCGGCGGCCGCCGCAGCGGGCGGTTGGTTACTGGGGACGCGGGCTGCGTTCCGCGCGGTTGGGTTATGAGGCGTTGGCGGCTGTGGGGAGCTGTGAAAACCTGTTAAAAAAAATATGTCTATTGGGGAAAAAAAAAAAAAAAAATCAAGTTTTTCGGTGCGGAGGAAGGGCTTCGCGGGAGGATGGCATCCTTGTCACTGATGGCGTGGGGAAGTGAATCCCTGATGACCCCCGTCCCATTCCCCTGGGACCCGGCACTGTGGGGTGCTGCCAGGCTCGCAGGGGCAGCAGGCGCCTCTGAGGGGTCATGGAATCAGAGAATGGTTTGGGTTGTAAGGGACCTTAAAGACCATCTAGTTCCAACCCCCTGCCACGGGCAGGGTCACCTTCCACTGAACCAGGTTGCTCAAAGCCCCGTCCAACCTGGCCTTGGACCCTTCCAGAAATGAGGCATCCACTACTTCTGGGGGTAACCTGTTCCAGTGCCTCACCGCCCTCACAGTAATGAGTTTCTTCCTAATATCTATATCTACCCTCTTTCAATTTAAAACCATTACCCTTCCTCCTATCACTACACTCCCTGATAAAGAGTCCCTCCCCACCTTCCCTGTAGCCCCTTTAATTACTAGAAGGCCACTCTAAGTTCTCCCCAGAGCCTTCTCCAGGCTGAACAACCCCAACTCTGTCAGCCTGGCCTCCCAGGGGAGCTGCTCCAGTTCCTTGATCATCTTCTTGGCCTCCTCTGGATCCACTTGAGCAGGTCCATGTCCTTCTTATGTTGAGGGCCCCTGAGCTGGACACAGCACTGCAGGTGGGGTCTCCTGAGTGGAGTGAGAGAATCACCTCCCTCAACCTGCTGGTCATGCGTCTCGATGTAGCCCAGGATATGGTTGGTTTTCCAGGCTGCGAGCACACGTTGCCAGGCCATGTCGAGCTTTTTGTCAACCAACACTCTCAAGTCCTTCTCCACTGGGCTGCTCTCAATCTATTCATCATCCAGCCTATATTTGTGCTTTGGATTGCCCTGACCCATGTGCAGGACCTTGCACTTGACCTTGTTGAAATTCATGAGGTTTTGCACAGGCCCACCACTCAAGCCAGTCAAGGTCCCTCTGGATGGCATCCCTTCCCTCCAGTGTGTCGACTGCACCGCACAGCTTGGTGCCATCAGCAAACTTGCTGAGGGTGCCCACTGCCCATGTTGCCAAGATGTTAAACAGCACTAGACCCAATAACCCCGAGGAACACCACTCATCACTGCTCTCCACTTGGATATCGAGCCATTGACCACAACTCTTTCGAGTGCGACCATCCAGCCAATTTGTTGTCCACCAACTGGTCCATCAAATCCATGTCTCTCCAATTTAGAGACAAGGATGTCATGCAGGACAGTGTCAAATGCTTTGGACAAGTCCAGGTAGATGATGCTCTCCCACCAACACTGTAACTCTGTTATAGAAGGCCACCAAATTTGTTAGGCATGATTTGCTCTTAGTGAAGCCATGTTCGCTGTTAGCAATCACCTACTTATTTTCCACGTGCCTTAGCACAGTTCCTAGGAGGATCTGCTCCATGATCTTTCTGGGGACAGAGGTGAGACTCATTGGCCTGTAGTCCCTGGGTATTCCTTTTTTCCCTTTTTAAAAATGAGAGTCGCATTTCTCCTTTTCCAGTCAGTGGAAACTTCACTGGACTGCCACGACTTCTCAAATATGATGGATACTGGTTTAGCCACTCGGGGCCTGTGGATGCATCTCATCAGGTCCCATGGACTTGTGCACCTTCAGGTTCCTTATATGGTCTCAAACCTGATTTTCTCCTACAGTGGGCAGTTCTTTATTCTCCCAGTCCTCCTACCTTTGCTTGTCTTGGGTGGTGTGGCTGGAGCCCCTGCTAGTGAAGACTGAGGTGAAAGAGTACTTCAGCTTTCTCCATGTCCCAAGTAACCAAGTCTCTTCTTCCAGAGAGGGCTCACATTTTCCCTAGTCTTCCTTTTATCACTGATGTATCTATACAAGCTCTTCTTGTTGGCCTTGATGTCCCTTGCCAGATTTAATTCTATCAGGGCTCTGGACTTCCTAACCTGATCCCTGGCTGCTTGGACAGTTTCTCTGTATTCTTCCCAGGCTACCTGTGCTTGCTTCCACCCTCTGTAGGTTTCCTTTTTATGTTTCAGTTTGTCCAGGAGCTCCTTGTTCATCCATGCAAGCTTCCCGGCATTCTTACCTGACTTCTTGTCGGGATACATCACTCCTGAGCTTGGAGGAGGTGATCCTTGAATATTAACCAGTTTTCTAGGGCCCCTCTTCTCTCCAGGGCTTTATCCCATGGTACTCTGCCAAGCAGGTTCCTGAAGAGGATGAAATCTGCTCTCCTGAAGTCCAGGGTGGTGAGCTTTCTCTGCACTCTCCTCTCTGCCCTAAGGATCTTGAACTCCACCATTTCATGGTCACTGCAGCCAAGGCTGCCCTTGAGTTTCACATTCCCCACCAGCTTCTCCTTGTTGGTGAGAACAAGGTCCAGCAGAGCACCTCTCCTCATTGGCTTCTCTGTCACTTGGAGAAGGAATTTATCATCAACACATTCCAGCAACCTCCTGGATTGCTTATGCCCTTCTGTGTTGTTCCTCCAACAGATACTGGGGTGGTTGAAGTACCCCATGAGGACCAGGGCTTGTGAATGTGAGGCTGCTCCTATCTGTCTATAAAGGCCTCAGCTGCTCAGTCCTCCTGGCCAGGTGGCTTGCAGCAGACCCCCACTATAATATCTGCTGTCTTTGCCTTCCTTTTAATCCTGACCCATAAGCTCTTGGTCTCCTCCTCATCCATCCCCAGGCAGAGCTCCACGCACTCCAGCTGGTCACTGCCATAGAGGGCAATCCCTGCTCCTTGTCTCCCCTGCCTGTCCTTCCTAAAGAGCCTGTACTCTTCCATTCCAACCCTCCAGTCACAGGAGCCATCCCACCATGTCTCCGTGATGCCAGTAAGATCATAGCCTTGCTGGTGTGCGCACGTCTCTAGCTCCTCTTGTTTGTTCCCCATGCTACGTGCGTTTGCATAGAGGCATTAAGTTTGGCCCCCGATGAAGCTGACTTACTGGCTGGAATTCCTTTGTGCTGCTCCTCAGGTGCTCTCCAGCTGACTTGTGGCCTCTCTCCAGGCTCTGGGCATCTATTGCTGGCACTGGCATCAAACTGGTAGGAGTAGGATGGATTGAGGTTCCCCTCCCCCAGCAACCTTCGTTTAAAGCCCTCTTCACCAGCTTGGCAAGCCTGTGACTGAAGATGCTCTTCCCCTTCTCTGACAGATGGACCCCAGCAGCCCCCAGCAGACCAGGTTTCTCAAAGCGAGTCCCATGGTCTAAATAGCCAAATCCCTGGCTGTGGCACCAGTTCTGTAACCAACTGTTGATTTGCCAGATTCGACTGGCCCTTTCAAACTGCTTCCCTTTAACTGGGAGGATGGATGAAAAAACCTAAACACGCTCCAGAGTCCCTTACCGCCTCTCCCAGGGCTCTGTAATCCTTCCTGATACTCCTCAGACTGCTCCTGGCTGTATCATTGGTGCCCACATGGAACAACAGCTGTGGACAATAGCCAGTGGACTGTACGAGCCTCACGACATCTCTTGGTGACATCCCTGAGACAAGCCCTTGTTAAGCAGCATGCCTCTAGAGTGTGTGTCAGGTTGGCAGATGGTGCCTCCTCACCCCTCAGAAGAGCATCGCCTACTGCTGTCACCCGTCGCATTTTCTCAGTTGCACTGGTTGTTACACAGGAGCAGACCAGGCTGCCTTGCTTCGCTCCAGCATCTCTCCTGATGTGACAGGTCTTTCCTCTTCACTCTGCAGAGTGGTGAAGCAGTTCTGCAAGGGCATCTTAGGCTTTGGGGAAAGTCTCTTCCTCCTGCAGGTCCTTGTTGTTGCAAACTTCCATTCTTCTGCATTACTGACCCCCACTCCTGACTCCCAAGGGCCTCCTCTTGGAGCATTGTAAGAACACTTTAATATGTCCCACACTAAGACTGTACTGATCAAATATGAAAATCTCTGGAGGGTAAGTAAAGATTTCCACAAAAATGAGAGAATGTCAGGTGGCACACAGGAGAAGGGCTGGCTTGTGGGCAGCCAGGAGAAAGCTGCTGTCATGTAGAACCACAGAAGTGCAAGGACGCTGCAGAGACAAAGAGCAGCAGAAAAATGGATAATAACTACTTCAGAAGAATGCAGCTCTATTATTATAGGAATAAAGTGACTTTCATAATGTATTAGTTGCTATATAGGAACAGTAGAAATGCCATCAGTGATGTAGGCAAGTGAGAAGCTTCAACCAACATACCTGTGCTTTAGTCAAGAAACACTTCAAGGGGATTTGTTGAAACTCCCTCTCAGTTTTGACTCAAGGTTGCCTGGGATTTTTGCCTATGCACAGTATAAACCATGAGATGAACAAAGGTTGGCAGTGGACGTCTTTTAGGAATTTCAATACATACCCCAGCAAGTGGTGTCACTGCGGTGGAGGAAAGAATAGGTGCCTCAAAAGGCTCTAAACAACAGCCACCGATACCAGACATCTTAACATCAGAAAATGTGTATTGTTATCATCCCAGAACTTTCCAAGAGCTGACAGAAGAGTGCTTTGAGTCACTAAAACTCACTTTCAGAAGAAGTGGAAGTCCAGGGGATCTCTAGGGGGCAGGGAAGAAGTTCACCTTGAAACAGTATTTTGCAAGGTATACGGAACAACCTGGGCAATTCAGGCTGTGAACTTCCATCCAGCCTGTAGCCTGACATTGTCTGGATTCTTCTGGATATGGGCCTGATGGAAGTCCACAGCCTGAAATGCATGCTGCCCAAAATGACTGTGTTAATAAATACCAAAGTAAAAGGAAGTATGTTATTTATGCCAATTTACGTGGATTTACAGAAAGTAGATTTTGCTGAGATAATCTGGTACTTTTTCAGACAAGTAAGACCTTAATTCATAACTACATTTTTTTTCATATAAAACTACTATAAAGCACAAGGCTTTAGTTTTGCACGGTTCTTTGATCGAGAGGTTATAGCAAATTAATATACCAGATAGTTCAAAATCCAGTGGTTAACTCAATTGTTAGACTTGATGCTAAACAATCATTGTTCGGTATCATTCATTGTTCAGGGGTGTTAACTGGGGGAGCTCCAGCTGGATCCTCTCCTGGCTACTTTCCGTTTCAATCTGTGACACATAAGAAAACATAAACTCATCATATTGCAACAGACCGGAGGAACAGAAAAGAAAATAGGTCACTGATGTAATCAGGTGGTAAACAGAAAGCAAGCATATATTACTTCATTACAGGTAAACATGGAGCTATATATCTCAGAACAGAGAATGAAGGCCACAGTAGTAAGATGCGAAACTATGCTTTGAAGCGGTTGCTCTGGAAAAGGCTCAGAAGAATGGCACAGCAGCTGAACAGCAACTCCCGCTGAAAGGAAACCTAAAAAGCTAATCTTCAAATATACTGGCAGGGGAGTCATAAATTGGGCTAATGCCATTATGTTGAAATGTTGGGTCTAGTTCTCCTAGGCTTGGGTCAGGGAGGATGTTGCCACATTAGTGGTGGGAGAGGTCAGTGTCATTTTGCTATGTTAGACCCAGAGCACATGAAAAGGAGCTCCTAATGCTCCAGGGACTTCACTTACAGACAAGAAAATGGTGTAACATAGTGATCAAAATGATAACCTTGGTGAAAGCAGAGCTTTTTTAAATCTGAAAGAAAGATTTCTGATAGTTTAGGTATGACTTTCCGGGAACTGAAACCATTCAATATAACTGAATTTTTCTCATAGATGGAAATAAGTACCTTTGAGGTCAAGGTTTGCATGCTTCTCCCCTGTGACTGGGGATGAAATTATGTTCCCTGCATAGTTATCTTAAACGGGAAAACCTCATACATTTCTGAGGATAAATGCAATACCATTTCTTTTACTGGACATCTGAAAATACCAGACTAAATGACCTGATGGAATTTCCCCCATCCAGGAGAATGTACTTCATCCCTCTGGCATTTCTTGGAACGCAGGTGCAGAAAGAAAGGGTTGAGCATATAACGGAGTTATGCAATCAGCTGGTTATATTATCTTCCGTTAATTCAGAGTTCTTGCTCAGTTTGCTACAGAGGCTCAATTCAGGCATCTTGGAAACACAATCTGAGAAGAACAAGAATTCATGCTTTCTCCAGTGGTTTCTTCAACCTCAAGCATCCCTCCTTCCACCCTCATATTTTGCTGTTTCACTGCTTTCCCGCAGAGCAGCTAACATCAACACTTGCATGTGTCCCTGTGTGTGGGTTTGTGTGTATACAAGCTACCTGCATCTTAACACATCACCATCATATTATTTTTTTTCATGTTAGCTACATCAGCACAGCCTGCATTATTGGGAATTTAAAAGTACCTAAAAACGTCCATTCTTTTTTACTGAGCCAGTACGCAGTTGCTTACTGATGACAGAAAAAAGGGACCACTGGAGAGCACCTGCTCCAGCCCCCTGCTCAGAATGGGGCCAAGTTTGCACATGCTGCTCAGGTCTTGTCCAGTCAAGTTGTAAATATGCCCAAGGATGGAGATTCCTAAGTCTCTCTAGGCAACCAGTGCTTGAAAGGCTTTTTTTTCCTAATACTGTGGTGGAATTTCCCTTCTTGTTCCCCAATAGGCAAGTGTCAACTGGTGTTTACAGGAGAAGGTAGTATGCTTGATGGCGATGCAATGAAGGACAAACTTCTTTGCAGGGAGGTGGCATTTACATTCTTCAGCATGCTCTCGGTCTAACTGGTTGCTCAGCAACTCGTCTCCAGTGAAACCAGATAAGATTTGAGTAGCAACATTGTTCTCCCAGTCAGCGGGCAGTTAAACAACCAGGTAGTTGACCAAAATGTTTGATGAAGCCAAAGTAGACTCTGTTTTGACCAATATTTTAATGATCATTGTGTTTACCTGTCTCCATTTCATGTCCATCTTCTCACGCCAGTTTTAGTAATTTCTGGTTCCCTCTCTAGTAGCATCTCCTGAAGGATTTTAGAAACTATTCCTGATATCTGTCTGCTTTCAACTCTGACTTGCTGATAGGATTGGATTCCTTCCTCAAGTCTTCCACTCACAACTGATATGCTTTTCCTCCTACCCTCAACTTCATTTGGAATTGAAAAGTTCAAAGTCTTGTGATTTTCAAATTTACTTTTACGTAATATTCAAGTTTCTGGTGCTAACCATCACAGCAGATGTAGACAGGACCCAAGCATCAAGAGTATAGATGTCTGGTAACAACAAAAGTTGCCCACAGCTGGAGCCACACAGCATGTTTGGTACTTTAAGAAAAGTGTTATTCTCAGGCAGTCTCTTGAAGAGGTTCCTGCTGAGCCAGATGGCAGTATGCCTTATTTTAATTTTGGGGTGCCAAAACCTAAGGAGGAATCCTCTGACTTTCAACTACAAAATGTTGCATAAAATTGAATTTACCTATAAGGAAAATCCTTACTCAAGAGCTCAAGGAAAACAAAACAATAAAATAAAAAGAAATCAAAGGAGGGCAGAGATACCATACATATAGGATTACTGATCTGAAAACACTGCTGCTCTGGAAGCAGAAGTCCAGTTTATGTGGTCTAGTATTTTATGTCAAGTTCATAGATTGCTAAGTGTCATGAGTGAACATAGTAAGAGACTTAGCTGGCTTTTTGTTACTTCAGGTGAACAAAAACTCTTGTAAAGAAGCTAGAAAACCCAGAGGGATTGATTTTGCATAACCTGGGCCTACCCTTTCTCTGAAGCTGCTGGAACATGGACCATCCTATACGGTAACACATAATAATGGAAATTAATAGAGATTAATCATTTTTATGTTAAAAAATAACCCACAGCATTAATTAGTCCAGTTTTTGTAGCTCTCGGGATTTTCTTTCCCTTTTTGGCTGACTGGACAGCATCTGGTTTTGAAACTGTTTCAAACGAGCAGTGCAAGCAGACAGGTTATACCTATATGGTACCTAAGTACCGTATGCTTGAGAAATGGTAATATAGTGAAAGACAAAAAATGATACTAATCTTGACAAAACAACCAACTTCCTGACACACACATGAATATAACTCATTATTAAAACCAGTAGGAGAGAGTAACCTAAATGAATCTCCCAGGAAGGTTACACACAAAGAAAATGGAGTAGTTAGACAAAAGTATTTGTAATTAATACATTACAACTCATATACAAATTTATTTTTGCAAGGAGGTTTGTAGGCCGATAGGTACTGCAGCCTTTAACTCGTTGTTTTTTTTTTTTTTATTTTCTTTGAGAAAATGGAGAAACAGCTGGGAGATGAGTAGCTATAATATTCTGTGTCTGCACACCTGCGGCATGCAGGTTAAGACAGCTCAATGCCAAGATCCTAGAAGCTGCCCAAGAGAGGCGTGGCAGCTATCAGACATATTTCTGAATCTCTGTGGGAAACCTTCAGTGTAGAAAAGCCAGCTGGCAGGAAACACCCCACAGCACACACCTACTTTTCTTTCTATGCTTAGAGAGAACTAAGCCAAACCATCTCTGCATTCAGATACCTTCATGAATTCTTTTGGAGAAGATGGGGAATTTATAAATATGAGAGTAGATAGCTCTGTAGGCTCAGAGATTTGCCTCCGCAAGGCTAAGAGATCTGCTGTTGACAGCTCTTGAGCCTGTTAAAATATGGAGAATGCTGGACTAACTTCATTTATCAGCTAAGCTTTTCATTAGGATAAAGTCTGGTCTACCATCATGTGTGTGGATCCGGTAAGAAAACTGTGAGGGGAGTGACTGTTAGTTCTGGCAGCTACACAAGCCTCGGGAATTTACTTTAAGCTGCTATAAGTAGGAATTTTGTCTGTGTAAAGGGAACAGTGACAAAACCAAGAAAGGTTAGGGCTTGTGCAGTCTTATTCACCTCACCTCAAAATTATTTTCCATTTGTAAAAACCCCAAAAGCTCAAGCACATCTATGACTTTCTGGCAAAAACAAAACAAAATCACAAACCAAGCTGAAAGTTTGATACCCTAGATAGATAAACCTCCATAGATTCCAGGTAGTGAAAAAATGTAAAGCGATTTTTAAAACACTAAAAATGCCTTGCACTAAAAACATTACACTAAGGCCATGGGTATGGTAATTGTGAGATGTTTGTTTTTCACCTTTAAAATGCCCAGTTTCCATGGCTTGACTCCAGTATGGATTCAGGAACATTTTCTCTGCTATTGTTAACATTCTTGTTAGTTCATAAGCAGCACCTCTTATGAAAAGCACATAACTATTTAATAAAAAGGCAGCAAAAATAAAGTAGCACATGAACTCCCTGCCATTCTCCAGCTGCGGTCTGAATAAACATCCCAGCAAATATCAGCCAGCACTGCCATATTAACTTTGATGAGATTCACTGCTCTTACTGCTAACAGCTACAGGAAACACTGCACATTTTTATTTTAAATAACTTTTACCATTGAGCTTCACTCATCAAACCATGTCAGTGCCACAAAAAAAACCACCTTTGCAAGATCGATATTTAATTGCTTACATGAAACTGCCGCTTGTCCTTTTCCTGTGTATGACTAACAAACCAGGGGACTTAAAATGCCTGTGAGCAGTTCTGTTGTGCATGTCAAATGGGGAACAGCAGGGGGAATTTTTTTACACCCCTGTGGTAAGTGATTGGGTGATCACAAGGAGAGGGACTGCATTCACCCAGTATTGGTGGTGTATAGTTGTGCAGTCTAATCTAGATCTCTAAACTCCTTCAAAAGTCAGTGAGGAGAACGAGGGGAGAGGGGTTGCTTTTTGAGGGTGTTCATTTAAGAATGGGATGAAACTGCCTGCTGGAGCTGCCGAGTTATTTTCACTGTAAATAAATAAAGACAGATTAGAACTCAAGTTTTAGTCAGCTTAAAGTTAGGCAAGACTATCTCCTCTGTAAGTAAGCCCTACTTAAAAGGACTGTTTCACTCTAGGCTATAAAATAATTTGATTAGATTATATGTTTGTCAATGGAGACATGTCATTTAGGGGTAATGGATCTAAGTTTCAGTGGTGTCTCTGAGGAGGCAAACCAGGGGACAGTGAAAGAGACAGAATATAGCTTAGTATTTTATAGACTAGACAGAATTATGTGTACTTTTCCATTTTGTTGAGGTTGTTTTTCATACGGTCTTGCACTTTAAAAACATTTAAACAGAAGGTAGTATTCCTTTTTTATTACACACAATTACCTAAGTAGCCATGGCAAAATTATTTTTTTTTTTAAATAATATCTCCTGATGAAGAAAAGACTAACCCATATCTAGATACTCCTGGGGGGAAAAAAGTCCTCAGATCTACGGACCTTATGAGTGTCCTACCCATGCTTTCAAAGATACATGGAAATTCTTTATAATCTAGTCAAAGTGAACAAATCCAACTACAGTCAGAAAACTCTTCTTGAATCATTTAAAGTGATCATTTTCCCTGCTTTTAATTTTCCTTTTAAAAATGATGGAGTATTGATAACATTTTGCTGTATAGTAAAAAATCCGAATGTACCCTCCCATTGAAAGAGATCAAAATGGATTGCTCTAATTCCATGGTGTACAAAAACCAGGCTCAGTCATAAAACCTGAACTCACACTGTATGATTCATTTCAATCAGCCACAGTCTAAAGTAATGCACAGATTAGTTACTAAAAAGGATTATACTGAAAGATCAGTGAATTCCAAAAATCAATTATGAAATCAAAATTCATACAAGGAAAAAACATGAAAACTATGTAGAGGCTCATCTTTGACAAATGCTACCTTACAGAGTTTTAATTAACACAGAACTTACTTCTTCACAGTAGTACTGGTAGTACTAAAAAGGGGTAGTCCTTTTGCACTGCCTTATCTGAAACAAAATTAAATTTCACAAATTATTTAGAAAATTATCAGGAGAAACACTGTTACAGACTCTCTCATGCAGCACAGTTATACGGGTGCCAAAACTTCTTTCTGTTCAAAGAATACCTTTGGTTTAGGCAGGGTAATGCATCTTCCCTCTTGCTGGCATACAGCCTGCTGCTACGGGCATACTTGCTAGCACAGGGAGTGGCATCCGACTGTCTTGCATGATAGACGGAGCACAGTTGCCAACCTGTAAATCAAATGACATTGCAATATCAAGTATTTTATTGAAAGTTCTAAAAAAATTGAGAAGCTGGCTATAGCTTCTACAGTCAGGGTAACTGAGATTTTAGTGATTAGCCCCAGGGCTTTTATACAACCATCGATTTCTTTTTGTGAAATGATTATCTTGTAACAGTGGTCATTCTGCAAAATCCAATCAAAAGCAAGAAGGAATAGAAAGTATATGTGTGCCACTGACTATGTGCTACTGCTGAACTTCCTGGAAAGCCTGCTGATTAGTTGCTCAATTTCTATAGAAGGAGTAATGGAAAGATAAAGCAAATATGTTCTTATTAGTTGTAAGAAACACTCTGTCTCCATCTTATTTGTAGGAGGTGTGCTAAATTTTAATGCTAAAAATACTGATGCCAAAATACATACTTTAATAGAATAGAGATGAGAAAGCTTAGATATGATGACATTGGAATTACAGCTGTGTCTGAGCATCAGGAGATCTGAATTCAGTTCCTAGCTCTGCCCTTAGAGTGTCTGCATTAAAAACATTTAATTTTAGGTACTTCAGCTCCCCACCTCCAGCACTGTTTCCTGTTTCATCCTATCCACCTGCTTCATCCATTTAGAATAAATGTGTTTTAGGGAATAGCTCTAAGTATTGGGATAGTACTTGTTTCATAGATGTCTTGATGTTAAACTGACGCAATACAACTTCACAGTATCACAACTAGGGGAAGAATAATTGACATCACAATCATAAAGTGATAAAGGTATAATGAATCATAAAAGACTGTTGGTGATTCATGCAGAAACATGAAAGTTACTTAGAAGGCTCATACCAGAATTACCCACCAAAATGGTGGGATTCGCTTCAGCCGCAACAAAGGAAGCCAAAGCAAGGTTTGCAATCAGCTTTTAACAATGGCAAAAACAGATCTGTGGAACTCAGACACTTCATTCAGGCAGAGCTTAATATCAAAGGTTTGGTAGGCTGGATCAAATAAATCATTCATACTAATGTTTCTAGGATGGCAATTACTGGTTTTAGTACGTATGAAATTGATAGTTCACAAATGGCAAGAAATTAAAGCAGACAAGAAATTAAAGCAGAGAGTTCACTTGTGTGACTGTTTATTTATTTATGTTTTTTGAAGCCTAATTTCTGAGGTTGGATATATCAATTTATCAGTGAATATTTAAATGTTAACAGGCATGACAAATATAAATACAAGCTCTAGTTCAGAGAATGATCCAAGATGAACTGATGACCTTTACTTTCAGGAAACAACAAAAAAAAAAAGGTTGAAATCTGTTGAGAAGTTTGCCTTCATGGCTAGGAAAGGGGGAACTATGAATTCCTGCTATCCAGTATATAGAACACTATATCCCAAAGGATTTTATTTCTATTGCTTTCAAAACCAGAAAATATAAAGATAGTGAGGAGATACTTAAAGGCAGGTGGAAATGCAATCCATTATGAAGGGTCAGGACTGAAGGATACCTATCAACCTCTGTAGTTCCACTGGGGGCCCATCAATCTTTGCGCAAACTGTACTGTCATATTACGCTCTTCCACAGTCCTTTATAACAGAAGATAATATAGGTGATGGTATCTTGCTTTGTGAATATGAAAATGGCCAAAACCCAACCCAGAAATTACAATTTTCTTCTACGTTACATAGTCAGGGATCAGAAAATGCTGCTTGCTAAACCAGGTGTCTCTTTGATGCTACCTCTTTACCTCAGTATTAATTGACCTTGTCTCCCAAAGCAAGCCTCTAATTGCTGTGTGACTGCATGTCTGCTGTCAATAATGCCTAATGATTGACTTCAGTTTCTCACCACTTGTAGTTGCACTTCCCTCAAACCTTCTTTTGTTCTTGATGCCTGTATGTTTCCCAAACTGTGTGGTCTTTCCTTTATCTCACTTCAGCAGCTGCTTTGGCATTCTGCGTCTTCTGTTTCAGATTCAAGTGGCTCTACACATTTGTGTTGTGAATATCATGGCTTCAAACCCCGAAAGACTTTTATGTCCCAAAACGTTCTTGTTACAGATTTTATCCTGCCATCTGATGTGCAATATGGCCCACAGATGGTACAGATAAAACCACCCTACAAGCTGTAAATGTTGATAGTCAAAATAGAAAGTTAGAAAAAAACATATAATGAATGTTTCTTCCTTTTTAAAAAAGCAAAACAAAACTAAATCCAAATAAGAAATAATTCTCACTCATTCAGTAGATACCTCTAAATAAAATTAAACAGTTTGAAATGTCAAGGGAAATCTAGACTGCAATTACTGAGATCAATTTAGATATAATTAAGTAATCAAGGTTACAATGATCATATGCTATAGTAGGTATTCTACAGGTGCCTTGATATGCTTTCAAATCTCTCAAGAACTTTTAACAGTAATAATAAAGTCATTATCTAAATCTGCCCAGGGTCACATGGCAACATTATCTTAGGGGACTGACACTCATACTGCTTAATTCCATTATATTTTGCAGACTATCAACATCACAGTTGACATACACAGCATACTAGTGGACATATTAGATGTGAAGCATAAATTCTTTTGCAGCTATCTACTTCCAAGTTTCCAGAGAAATTAAGTGTACAACTTAGAACAGGCAAAGTGGCAATGCTTCCTGCTTTTTAATGGAAAGTCTGATTATCTGTGGTAGTGAGAACAAGTCATCAGGATGCTGGAACTTATTATTTTAACTAGCAAATACAAAAGAAAAGGATGTGAGAAAAGTATCAGACATCATCTTCTTCTCAATGTCACACAGCAGCAAGTTTCTAAGAAAACAAACGACACTACCACTTTTTTTTTTTTTTTTTTTTTTTGTCACTATCACTTTTTTTCTCAGCTGCTGAGCCAGAAAGATAGGACACTGCATAAGATTGAGCCCTATGGTCCTGAGAGAAGAAAATGGCTTTTTGAAAAGCAAAAAGTGAGAGAGAGGAAATGGTTCATATGATAGCTTAATCAATCAAAGTGAAAAGGAAGAAAATGCAGTCATTTTTCTCCAGTTCACCCTACTGTATTTCTAGGATCCTTCCTATGCTCCTAATTCTGACCCTCCATCTTTACACACGCTTTCCAAAACGGCTGCTTCCCCACACAGACTTGGGCTCCATTTAGTCGTAGATGTTCCAGATCCTTCTGTTTCCGTCCCCTCCAATGCACTCAGATCCCCTCCTCTCTACCTGCCTTGCCTTGAGCTCTGTTCAATTTAATCTCCAACACAAATACGTGCACGGCACTCTCCTCCAGTCCATCTCTAGCATCCTCCTGGCACTCTAAACTCCCGCAGCTTCTACTTTACTGCTCTTGCACTAGCTCCTATTGCTATCTATCCCTGAAACGAAACATGAGGTAACCTTTCCAACTTTAAACTGCCTACAGCCCTGACCGGCCTGCACTCAGTGCCATCTTCTGCCTCTCCGGCCACCGAGCCGCGCTGGATTTCTGACAGGGTTGTGACGCTTCCCAGCTCCCTCCTTGGCTCCCCTCCGTGCCTTTTCCCTCGTCTCTTCCCTCTCACACTGGAAGCCCCCCCAGCTCGCTCGCCCGTTCACCGACCCGCGGCCGCCATGTCCCGGGCCTCACCGCCCTCCGCCTGCCTCCTCCACCAACCCGTGCCCACCCCAGGCGCCCGCTCCCGACCCACCACCTCACCCTCCGGCTCGTCGCTGCCATCCCCCCGGGGCGGGAAGGCCGTTCCTCAGCTGGACACCCCCTCACCTGAGCGCGGCTCCCCCGCAGCCGCCCCCCGCTCCCCCCCTCTCGACCCCTCTCCCGCCCCGCTGTCAGAGCAGGAGGGGCGGCACCTGCGGGTCCGCCCCATTCTCCTCCCCTCGCCTCCCCTCCCCTCCTCCCGCCGGGGAGAGAGAGAGACCGAGACCTAGAGGGAGACGGTGGCACCGAGGGCGGCGGGCGGGACTGCCGAGCGCAGTCGCTCGGTGTGAGGGGAGGGAGGGGGGGGGGAATAAAAAGAAAAAAAAAATTAAAAAAAAAAAATTAAAAAAAAAATTAAAAAAAAAAGTGAGAGAGGGGTGGAAGGAGAGCGCTTCAACTTCTCTCTCTGCCCAGCAAGGTAAGGGAGCCGCGAGGGGCGCGGGGCTTTACTTCACCTTCTCGCCGGTGTGTGGGGAGGGCACCAAGGTAGCGGGTCGGGGCGGCGGCAGCGGCGCCCCGCTCGTTGGGTCGCGCTGGGTGTCAGTCACCCCGCGGAGCGCAGCACCGGCGGCGGCGGGGGGCGGGGGGGGCACTGCGGGCTGCCAGCGGCTGCGGCCGGTGTCAGCGGCGGGCTGCCGCCGTGCCCTGCCCCCCCGGGTGGGCTCTCCAGCTCTTTGTTACCATCGTTTTGGACCGGGGTGGGGGGGTGGGTGTGTGGGAAGTGACCCCGCGCCGGCGGGGCGAGGCGGAGGCGGGAGAGCTCCGGCCGGGCGGCTGCGGGAGCGAAGCCGCCCCTGAGGGCGGGGGGGGCGGGCGGGCGGCAGGCAGCAAAGCCCCGGGGAGCGGCGGCGGGCGGGGTGGGCGCGGTGCGGGGGGGTGCAGGTGGTTCTGCGGGCGGGCGGGCGGGCGGCGAGCTCCCCCGCCCCGCGCTGCCATGCGGGCGGCCGCCGGCAGAGGGCTCGGCTGCTTCGTCCTCCGCGCCCGGCGGAGGCTTCGCCGGAGGGGGAGAACGCCGGCGGTGGGCGGCCGGGGGGTGTGTGTGTGTGTGGGGGGGTGTTCAAGGGGTGGTGGGGCATTTTTGGACATGTGCAGGCTGGTTTTGAGGAGGGGGAGAGAGGGCGCCGGGTCTCCTTCCCGGGGGCGGGCTGTCCCTGCGGTGTCCGCTGGAGACGCGGCAGCCCGGCGGGCAGTAAACGGTGGCGCTGGCGGGCACCGGGAGCGGGCTGCCGGCCGCGGGCCCCGGCACAGGCGGCCGTTTCGGTGATTCCCCTCACCGCGGCGGCGGCCGGGCGGCACGGCTGGGTTGCTGTTGGGAAGTCAAGGTAGAGGAGGAGGGTGGCGGGGGTGGGGAGCGGAAAAAAAAAGCGGCCCCGGCGGAGCTAGCGCCGGCTGTCCGAGGCGGCTGACAGCCGGGGGGGGGGGCGCCCCCCGCCGCCTTGGGAAGCGGTGAGGGACCGCCGGGACTCGGCCCTTCCCGCGGCTTGTCGGAGATCTCCCCGAAGGATGGAAAACTTTGTTTAAACCGTGGGATTTCGGCCCACCCCTCTGGGGGATTGCTGTGAGGATTGCTGCTTGTTTAGGCCCGGCGCCTGCAAATATCTGTCCATATTCTGAAATGTAAGAATTATCAATGGTCAGATGTGTTTGAAGCGTAGGAGACCTTTTAAGTTACCTGGGGGAAAAATATTTCCCACGTCTGTTGCTTGTCAGTATGTTTGCTTTAAATACCCTGAAGATACAACCTTTCCTGCGTTTTTCCATGTGTCTTTCTTCGAATTGGTGATTCTTAAGACTTTTTCACTGAACGATATTCTAAGTATTATTGAAATAATATTTCATATTCTTCATACTAAACTGATACCTTGTTACAAAGAGCTTTTTAAAAGATTGAAACAAAAGACTGCTGAAGAAGAAAGTGCTGGTTTTTATATGGAGATTAGGAACAACTGAAGCATAATTATTTTTTTTTACAGTTATTACTGTTGTTTAGAGCTGAGAGTGAAGTGAGTAGGCGGATATTTCAGTTGGAGATATAGCTATATATGTGACTGTGACCTCTGAGAGGACAACTAAAGCTTTCTGCACTTTTATAATACTGTAATGCATAAAGTGTGGGGTTTGTTAAGCGATATGCTCTGTAAATAGAAACAAGGGTGGGTCTTTTGATTGAAATGCTTATTATATATGCACTAGTGGGATTAAAAAGAAAAATTATTTGAAAAAATTACATTTTATCTTGAAGAAATTGATTGTGAGTAGGACAAAAGCACTTATGGAGCTGGTGGATTAACTTTTTAAATACCTCTTTGCAAAGGAATAAGGATTGTGTGGGGGTTCTCAGAGCTGTTGAGAAATGTTTATTCCTCATTTTAACACTTGTGGATTTTGAACAAATGCATACTTTTTCTCATGTATTCTCAAGTATTTTCAATAAAATGCTCCAGAAAGTCAATGAATAATGTTCAATATGTGTTCACATGTTTAAAGGGTTGGGCTCCAAACCTTGAAGGTTTAATTATACATCTGTTAATACAGATAACAAATACAGCTTATGTTTTTGTTTATTATTGGCAGTGTTTGAGCGAAACAAGATTTTGGCTAAGGTGTTTAACAGAAAAATGATTTATTTCTAAAACCCTATATGTACATACCTGGAATTTTTATTAGTTAGGTTTGGCTGTAGATAATATAGCAATCAGAAATAGTGATAATTTTTTGGTAAGGCAGTTTTTACACCTAGCATGTAATGCTGGAGGAAATAAGTCATAATAGGAAACCTGATAACTGAGCTTTTACTGGGATAATTAAAATATGTGCAATTTCTTAAGATCGCATGAGGATATCACAGATGAAAGGAGGGTTGATCTGACTATGTGAAAAGTTTTTCTAAAATTCAAAAAAGCACCTTTGGTTCAAGGTCTTCTTAAACACATAATTATTGGGGTTGATATTTGGCAGTTAAACAAGTTATGTCCAAAGTATTTTGCAGATACAAGGAAGAAGAAAACTTGGTAGTATAATTTAGGAGACTCTAATTAGTTGCTGTGGGATATAGGGAATGAAACTATTTTTTAAGGGAAATCTGGAAAAAATTCTGTATTGTGAAGCTATACAGAGAAGCTCTGTAACTTATTGTGAATGCTGGGCTGTTCATTCAGTGTAAAACTAAAGTCAGTATAATGTCAAAAATATATTCTAGGAAATCTTACTAATGATAGTTAAAAAAAAAAAAGATTGAATGCATTTCTTTATACTTTTCAGTGTTTCTAGGAAATTTCAAGTGGGCATAGAACTGTAAGGATTTTACGTTCAGCAGTGTAACCTTTTGTAGTATCTTTCATATTAAGCATTTTAGAGTGGTTTTTAAGAGTGCTTTTATGCTTTGTATGGTTCTGTACCATATGTTTTGTATTTAATTCTTTGAATGACCACTGAAGTGCAGCCAACGTTGGGTGAATGTGGCAACTGTTAACTAGCGCTTAGCAACAGTGCACAATAATCAGGACGGGAAGTGAAGAAGAATACCATGTCTAATTGAAACTACAGGGGGCATTTAGGTAGGTAGGATGTAATTAACGAAACCTGGAGCTTGGACATGATATTAAAGCATTGCATCTTTACTCTTGTAAAAAGGATTGTGAAATCATTAATGTAAAAAAATTTCAGATTTTTGATTTTATACCGCAGACGGATAGCCTCTTTGAGACATACCTGTTTTGCCTATTCTTGCATAATCATTTCTTGCACATAACACAGAAGGATACATTTTCCCTTGCTTCTAAAATGGAATCATGAGGAGTACTGTTGAGAAGACCAACAAATGAAGGAGCAATAAGCCTTGACATTTTGATAATGATGTCCTTTAGAGAATTAGTCTTGTGAACTAGAGTTCATTAGATATAGTAAGTGATTAAGATATCTCTAATATTGTGAAACAGATTACAGTGGCAGTCATAAAACAACACTGATTTTTTACAGTTAATGCATTGTTATTTTTTCTAAGAATCATTGACTTCCCTCAGATCCTATCTTATGACATTTTTTAAAGTGTTGTGGTGTTGCTTGTAAGAATGTTTGTTCAAAACACTTTGCCTAATATAGTTCCAGTTTCATGTTTTAAAAATTCTAAGCCTTATAATTTTGTTTCATGCTGCATTCTAGGTGGAGATGCATTCATATACCAATTTTATGTCTTGTATATCCCAAACACATCTTGTTTCAAACAACTCTGAAAATATCCTCATACAGTAAGGAGAGAAATAGTAAATGAATTTTCAATGAATCATTGCAGAAGCTCATTTGCAATTCTGAGCATGGCTACTATAGCCCCTGTTAATTGATTTGAACTTGCAGGTAGGTAGTGAAGATGATCCAAAACCAAGGAGCCATGCTGTGAAGGTGCTTACAGAGGTGAACTATACAGTAGCATTAGGCTCTTAATATTTTAATAGAAAAATTAATGGTTTTATAATCCAAAGTGTTGGAGGAACTTATGGATGACAGAAATTTGAAAGCGTTTATTCACAATGAGATCAGCCAAATTTTGTAAACTGTTGTTTGTTGTCGTTGTTAGCTTGGAAATATCAAATAGAAATTTGGAGTTCCTTAGACAGGCTGGATCTGTGGGCCAAGGTCAACTGTATGAGGTTTAACAAGGCCAAGTGTTGGGTCCTGTACTTGAGTCACAACAACCCCATGAAACGCTACAGGCTTGGGGCAGAGTGGCTGGAAAGCTGCCTGGTGGAAAAGGACCTGGGGGGTGTTGGTTGATAGCTGGCTGAATATGATCCAGCAGTGTGTCCAGGTGACCAAGAAGGCCAAGAGCATCCTGGCTTGTATCAGAAATAGTGTGACCAGCAGCACTAGGGAAGTGATTGTGCCCTTGTATTTGGCCCTGGTAAGGCTGCACCTTGGACACTGTGTTGTTTTGGGTGCCTCGCTACAATAAAGACATTGAGGTGCTGGAGCATGTCTAAAGAAGGCCAACGAATCTGGAGAAGGGTCTGGAGAATAAATCTTAGGAGGAGCAGCTGAGGGAACTGGGGTTGCTTAGTCTGGATAAAAGGAGGCTGAG